GCACTGATCAGGAGGTGGGTGGGTGGAATCTGCTGTTATGAGTCTGAATTCACCTCAAAGGTCCTGAAAGGTGCTGATTTAATAAGCTGTGTAACGAGCCCAACGTTAGCTGAAGGCAGCCCTAGAAACTACGGGGAGATGGCATTTTGGGGGGGTGCGTGTTCGGAATTAATGAAGCTGGGAGAAGATGGTGGGTTTCTCTGACGCTCTTACAGGAGAGAGATTGGGGTGTGCTTTGTCCAGGATGTGCTTAATAAAAGGATACTTTTAAAGGATAGATAAAGATGCGATGGAATGGGGAGGGGGGATAGCAAAGGTTCCTATTGCTTTTGACAACTAGGGCCTGTGGGGTGTTCCAAACTCCCCATCATCAGCCAGGGTGTGGAGGGTGCAGGACTAAGACTGTCATCGTGTTGGAAACCAGCAGATAAAATCAAAATTCTGCATCCAGGCAATCAAACACATCCTGTGCATGAAGAAAGTCCTATGTTCAATCCCTAAACATCTCCAGCTGAGAAGCCAGTTTGCAGATGATGGGGGGAAAGACCCTTCTTTGTTTGACAACCTGTAGCAATGCTGCCCGTCAGAGTAAGCAATGTTAAGCTAGATGGACAAATAGTATCCTGTGCTCCTAGCATGCTGGGTCAAGAAAAGTGGGACTCCTCGGCCAGCACACATCATGCCAACTTGCCTATATTTTATTACTTTTGCATAATGTGTCCTGCCTGTGCCAGTCATGGGGGGTGACAGCCCTAAAAAGAACACAACATCTTGGCAACCTCTTAAAGGATGGCTTCTTCGACAAACTGTGGCATTGCAGCTGCCTGGATAAAGCGCAAGGCTTTAAAGAGCAAGACATTCTCCAAAGGATCCTGAGAACTGTAGTCTGAAATGGGTGCTTGGAATCGTTGCTGTGCGAGGGCTGAACCACAGCTCCCAGGATTCTTTGGGGGAAGCAATGTGCTTTCAAAGGATAGTATGTACAGAGCCTTAGGCAGGCCTGGACAGTGGCATCCTGGATCCTGGCTCGCTCCTCAATGTCATATAAACAAAGCTGCCAAATAGGAATACAATTAGAGGAGCAGGTTCTGGGAGATGGCAAATTACACCCCAACCTTTTCTCTCGCACTCATGCAAATGCTCCTTACCATTGAAAAGGGGATGCAAAAACGCGAGCCCCATTTTCAATTTATTCTTGCACAGGCAGGTGCTACGGCACCCGCCGCAGCTCCCCTTGCAATCTCCTTCCAGCAGCCTGTGTTATTTCTTAGGCTTTTGCTCCTAGCAGCATCGGTGGGAAATAAGAAGAGAATTGCTGGCTTGTTCAGACCTGCCCTGGGGTTGACTGCACGTAACACAAGACCTTGGATCAACAGCCAGCTTGGGCAACCTTTGCCCAGAGCAACTCCCAGTGTTGCAGCCCCCCTGGCAGCCGTTTCTCCTTTCAGGATCTGTCCTCTTCCCCCATGGCCTTTTCTGAAGCTCAGTTGCTTGGTGAGAAATGAGGCGGCAGAGAGAAAAGCAGCAATGGTGAGCTGGAAGCAGCCACCCACAGCCAGGAAATGACCACCTTCTGTGACTTCTGGGTCCATGGGTGCAAAGTCACATACCTGTCCTCTCCTCCAGCCTTCCTGAAGCAGTTCGGCTCTGGAGAAAGCCAAGGAGAAGAGAAGGGACCCTGAAAGGGCTTGCTTCTGTGTCCACAAGCGCACTTCTAAAATCACAGGCTTGCTGGTTAAACACAGGGCTTTGCCAGCTGAAAAAGTGGCCTCTGTGGATTAATCAGCCAGAGCTTGACGGGATAAATATATCAATCAATGCTGCAGCCCTGCTTAATAGTGTCCTGTTCCCATTTTCCCTTTAGTTGAAAGGCCTGAGATTTGAACAGGGGTTGACCCGTCTAGGCCAGCACTGGATACACTTTGAAAAGTCAGCAAAAGAGCCTCCTTAAAATTGCCATTCCCAGCTGGGCAAGACATGGCTGATTTGCACTCCCAGGGGCACGAGGACTCACGAGAGGGATACGGAGGATGCCTAGGAGGTGAGATCAGGTCAGGATGAAAACAGCTGGGTTTATAGTTCAGGTTGGCCAGCTCACCTGCTTGCTTCTTGCGCATAAGGCAATAAAACAGTTTTTTCTTTGATTTCGTACGTACACACACATCCAAAACCACCATAGGCCGTCATGCCAATGACTCAAATTAGCATCTTGACGCTAATTATCAGGCTGCAATTTTGTAATAAAAGTACAGGAGTGGGTCTTTTAATTTTTATAAGTATTCCGAAAGAGACTTGGCTACTCGAACCAATCTTGCCTTGGTTGCAACAGTTCCTGTGCTGCCCTGGATTAAGCAGAATTGGGGGGGGGGGGGAATTGAGGATTGGCCCGGGGAGCGGAGGAAGAAGAGGAAGAGAAGAATCCCTTCTTGACCTCAGTAGGTCACATCATTAGAGGTGCTTTGCTTTCGCAACTCTTCCAGAACCCGGGCAAAGCTTGAGAAACAAAAAAGGAACTAATTTGTAAGTATTTTTAAAACTGAGGTATTTGTGACAGTGGATTTAGCGGTTGCCAGCCATCTGGAATACAGAATTACAGCCACCTCTCTTAATCCTATATTCCTTAAACCCTAAAGCTGGTTATAGCAGAGGGATGAGGAGGCAGGAGGGGTGGGGAGAGGAAGAGGAAAAGCAGAGGGGTGAAGGGTGGAGGGCAAAAGAGGAGGCAGGACTCTCTGAAAATTGGCAAACTTTCTTAAATGTTTCTTAACCCTCACTGGAGGTAGCAAGGAGCCTCATAGCTTAAAATGGTACAAGAAAAGAGAGGTGCTCTCTACAATGCACAAGAGCACACAATCACGAGTGTCTGAATTTATTGTGCACGCAGTCTCTCTCTCTCTCTCTCTCTCTCTCTCTCTCTCTCTCTCTCTCTCTCTCTTACACACACACACACACACACAGGCATCCTGGCCTGCACAAGGCTGTCAGGTAAATTAGATCTGAAAGCTGACAATTTCTGACCATATTTCCTTGATTATTTCAAACAAATGCGCACCAGCCGCTGTAAGGAGATTACAGTGACATAAACGTCCCGAGCGGGAGGGAGGGAGGGCAGAGAATTCAGGTCACCCCCATCCGTCCCCCATTTGACAGCCGCTATATCGCTATCCAATCCAATAAAAAAATCCCCCCTTTTGCTTTAATTAATTTTACAGCTAGCTTGCTTAATTACTTTCAATCAAAATCCTCCTGCCATCGCAAAATTAGAGATGGTTGAGCTCCATTAGCCTAAATTCTCCATCTCCATATAGAAAAAGAGGCTCCTTCCACGGCAGACCAAGCCAGGGTCTCCTGCCTCGCTGGGCTGCCAGCAGGCGGATGGGGAGTCTGTCCTCTGGCAAGTCGGCTAAGGGAAGCGGGACTGCCAGCAAAGCCCCAGAGACAGAGAACCAGATCCCTAAGCAGCAGAGGGCTCGGGGCTGCTGGCAATGGGGGTCAGAGGGCCTGCTCAGGTAGGGTCAGGGAAATCAGCAGGTGCCTGCTTCTGCTCTGCCAATCCCAGGCCTGGATTGAAAGCTCTCTGAGAGCTGGAGGCTGCCTTTTCCTGGGTGGGTGGAAAGAGAGCCTTGGAAAAATGTGTTATCTGTGTGAGGCCAGGCGGCACAGTGGGTAAGGAAGATGCTGGCACAAATCTTGCCTCTGCCACAAACTCTCCAGATGGTCTTGGGGAAATGACTGTCTCTCAGCCTCAGGCTGCATCCAGACCATTGCCTAAAGGCAGGACTTAGGAGCTGTCCTCAGTGTTGCGCTTTTGTAACACATGCACCACACTAGCAGACCTTCACCCACTTTGGGCTGCTGTCCTGCTCCTTGTGTGTGTTTGCCCCTCCCACTGTACTCTCAAATAAAACATCAGTTGATAAAAATGCCTTATTTTAAACCTTTCCTGTATGGACTGCCACTGAGGTGGCGATCCAAAGACCCCTACCACTAGGGCATGTTGATTTTTTCAGCTTTCAAAATTTAGTTGCTACATGACTTGTGAATTCAAAAGGTATTTTGGTTAAATTAATATGATTTCTATGCTTGGGAAGTAAAACGTGTGTGCAATGGCAAAGAAATCATTAAAAATGATTGCCAAGTATTTGCAGTTATATTATTTATTATTAACACTATGTAGCATTACATGACATTTTCAGAAGGTAAAATTAAAATTCTTTGGTTTTCCGAAAGCAGCTTATGCACTTCTTCATCAAATGTAGACTTTGCGGAAGAAATTTGCAAAAATGAAGGTTCGCTCCCTAAAATGGCACGTCCTACCCTACCAGAGGGGTTGCCAACCCATGAGCACATTTGCAAACTGGAGAAACTGCCATGGGCAGCACACCCACACAATCTCGCAATCAAAACACACACCACAACCATATTCTATTGTCTGCAACAGAATGCTTCTTTCATGGAGAGGCACCATCAACAAGAGGCTACTAGTACTTCATTATTATAGAGATAATAGGTTGGACACTATTCCTGCCCCAGCTGGAAAAAAGTATTATTATTGTTGTTATTGTTATTATTTGTTAGTAGTAGTATTAAATCTCACTGTAAAACTATCCAGAGTGTTATGGGGATGAAGAGAGGTGGAATGAACTACTACTAGGTATTGGGGCGGGGGGGGGGGGAGGAGATACAATGCCAAAGTACCACTGGTCAGGAGTGACTTTTGCAGCAGCAAACGGCCCCCTGTGAACACGCCTACTATACATTGCAGGTACGGTAATCCAGGTGTTTGGTTTGGGTATGAAGCTGCCTGCTCAATTTAACACTGAATTTCACTTGCTGCCTTGTCAACTTCACTTTCTACACTGTCCCTCTTCAGCAGTTTGTCGAAGAGGTATGACCTCACCTTCCTATTTTGCCAAATTTATTTTAGTCATAGAATTGTAGGGTAGGAAAGGCACCACAAGCGTCATCTAGTTCGGCGCCCTGCAATGCAGAAATCTTTTTGCCAAGGGTGGGGCTTGAACCCGCAATCCACAACTTTGAGATTAAGAGTCTCGTGCTGTACCAACTGAGCTATCCCTCAGGCCTGTATATCCCATATATTTATAAAATGCTCTTCATCAAGAGACGGTTTACAACAATTCAAATCCTTTCCATGGCCTCCAACTAAGTGTGTTTTTTTAAGAAGGACCCACTGGACACTAAGAATGTGGATGGACAAGAGGCATCATTAACAGGGAAAGTGCTTGCCCTGTTATTGTCTTTGGTCAAACAGATCCAGCAGGATTTTGAAGTAGAACAACAACCTGCAATATCTGTTTGAGCAGACACGATTGAGTATGCATATTGCAGCACCTATGTTATACCACATTTGTTTAATTTGTGGTGTGTGTGTGTGTGTGTGTGTGTAGAGAGAGAGAGAGACAGAGAGAGAGAGAGAGAGAGAGAGAGAGAAAGAAAGAAAGAAAGAAAGAAAGAAAGAAAGAAAGAGAGAGAGAACAATCATAGCTATCATCTGTCTTCAACCCTAAACTGCCCATATGTCTTCACTTGGAAAGTTAATAAGCTGTCCCTCTAACCCTGATCTTCAGAAGTGAGTGCCAATTGTTTTGTAGATGAAACATCAACTTCCACACACAAGAGGATGTATTTACAAGAGGATTAGACAAATTCATGAAGGATAAAGCTATCAATGGCTACTAGCCACAATGGCTATGTTCTACCGCCACTGTTGCTGCAGGCAGGGGTTGGCATCTATCTGTCTCCAGAGTCAATGGAGTGCACTTCCAGGGGTGAAGTCAAACTGCTGGAGCAGTATGCTTCTAAATACCAGTTGCTGGAAATCACAAGAGAAGAGAGTGCTCTTGTGCTTGGATTCTGCTTGTGGGTTTCCCACTAGGGGCATCTGGTTGGCCACTGTGAGAACAGGATGCTGAACAAGGTATGTGCAGGCTTGGGGGCATCCTTAGGTTTCAGGAAGTACAAAAGATTTAGGGGGGGGACTCAAATGGGTGGGGGGACTTCCCCTAACAGCTCAATGACGACTGACTAAATGGAATGAAGTATCCTGTACAGGGGCGCTTCACACTGCAATATTTTGTTTATGCCTAGCCTCGATTCCTTTTCATTTGACCAGCTACTAAGCCGCAGCAATGAAAGAATTAGCACTTTATAGAGGACCTTGCTGTGGAATTCTGTCCAAAGAAAGTCTAAAGAAAAAACATTGGAGTGAATGTAACCAACATATATGGAGATATAAGGCAATCATTGTGAGGAAGAAGATGGCTGTGTCATTAAATACAGAGCATGGGATGATTCATCGCAGAGCTACAGAGAATCAAAATACCATCCAAACTTCCCTTCCAAGCCGTTCCTTCAGAGTAGGGGGTGGGTGAATACACCAATTTTGGTTTATCTCAGTTTCTTGTTTTCACACATTTCCACATTGGTTCACAAATCTCTTTCTAAAAAGCCCTCCTAAAAATTCTTCAGCATTTTAGTGCAAACTTCTCCCAACATCCACATTTCTGTATGTAATGTTGCCTAGCAGTTTTGCAAAGCAATTTCCCCATATATAATGCATCTTTGCATTTTATTTTCACCAATATATATGCCTTTATATGCATACTTTACCCTAAGAAGAAACTTTTCTATACACTACTTGGCATGGCAAAATTTGAAGAAGTGCAAATTTCAAAGAGAGGCTATTTCGGAAACTGTGAATTCAGTGACGTTCGCCTTTCAATGCAAAGTGAATCAAACTCCTTCCCCAACTCTACTGCAGGGGCCATGTGCATGGCTGGATCATGCCCCCTGCTTGTTCATAACTCTGATTTCCCATTCTAGGTTCACTCAGCCCTGGGTGCCCTTGTCCAAACCCACGCCTGGACTGCTGGTCAATTCCAAGACAGGTCGGAAATGCTTAGATCTGGCCTCTGCCCCCTACATGCCCCCCTGCTCCCACCCACCCCAATTTATCCACCAAATTCCTGTCTCCAGTGCCCCGAGAGGCCGAGACAATAGAACAGAAGCGGCCTTAAATCCACCAGTCTCTCCCTAAATAGCAATGGCCCTTAATCGCCCCCGACATCGGGAGCCTGTTATTCTTTCCCCTGGTCGCCTGGCTGGAGCTGTTCAGATCCATCAGCGTTATTCGCAGCAATAAACGGTAGCTGTGGGAGAAGACAGGAGGGGCCTGCCTGGGAAGGCCCGCTGAATCAACTCCCCCCCCCTCCGCTCCCTGAGTAAAGCGCAACGCTCAGAGGCAGCCCTATCGCGGAGCAAAGCGAGGCCGATACTCCAAGCCAATGATTTTGGAGACTTCTGAGAGCAAAAGCAGACACCGGGATGTTCGCTGGGGCATGCCCCACTGAAACAAGCAGGGCCAGTACGGCTCATGGAAGAGAGCTTCCCATGGGACTGATCCAACAATTCATAAGCAGAAATTAGATTTGAGGTGTCAAACACCAAAACTTTTTTGGGCTGGCCCTTTCCAAGGCCTGATATGTGCCAGTGTGTAACTCTGAACACACCTGAAGTGGGACATTATTTACACTCTTTGCTACTGGTGTCCTGGTTGCTGTTGCTGGTGGTGTATGTTTTTAAAGGAATGCACAGCATGTGTGCTTTGCAAATTTCCCCAGATGGATCCTACCAAAGACATTTCCAGGTCGGATTAAGCACACTGCAGAACAAGGTATGAACCACTGTGGTTACCCAGAGAAGCCTACTGATATACAGGCTTCTTGGGAGTTCTCCAGAGTTCCAAGACAGAGGGGCAGGGATGGCATGCCTCTGAGCACATACAGAGGGCCATTCCCACAACCCTGGACACCTACAGTCAGCTCTCCTCCACCTATCTGTTTAGAAAGCATTCTGTCTGTACATCTAGAAAATTTGATTTACCACCAGATCCACCTGAAGGGGGGTGGGTGGATGTTATTTATCCCCCCTCCTCTCCAGCCCCCAGCCCCTCCCCAAAAGCCGCCTCCAGCTGATTAAGGATTTCTAACAGGATGCAGAGATTTGCTGTAAGACCTGGCTCTGGATCAGCCAGGGCATGGAGCCAAATGTGTGTGCGCGAGTGTGAGAGAGGATTGCCCCTCTGGCGCGGCTGCCAAACCAGCAGCCTCCTCCAAGGAGGCTTTGGAGATCCCAGCCACGACAGAGTGGCAACCTGCCCTGGCTGGCTATGCCGGGGAGAAGGAGAAAGCCCAGAAGCAAAGGAGGTGTTGGACTGACGCCGCAGGAGTCTGGATGTGTAGGCTGGATCATCATGGTGCTACTCTGGCTGTACAGACCAAACTGTATTACATTTTTCTTCACCCTGCCTCCTAGGAGCTCATGCTCACTGCTCACTCGCCACGTTTTGCCCTCAAAGCAACCCTCTCCGGGGGCTGCTTGTAAACACCTGTTTGGCTACTGTGCGAACAGGATCACAGAATCACAGAATTGTTGAGTTGGAAGGAACCCTGAGGATCATCTATCCAAAGCAGGGATGTGCAGCTGTCCCATATGGGGATTGAATCTGCAACCTTGGTATTATCAGCACCACGCTCTAACCAATGGAGCTATCCAGGCTATGACTGGGTCTTTAACCTCATCCCAAAGCCAAGTCCTTCTTAGGTGATGAGTAAGGGACGGGGCCAAGGTCAGTCAGGGAGCTTTATGGTTGGCTCTCCCCAGCTCCAGGCTGACATGCTAACTGCTGCACCTCCAGAAGTCATTGGACTCCAACTGCAGCATGGTCAATGATCCAGGGGATGATGGGAGTTATAGTCCAGCAACATATGAAGAGCCACAGGTTAATCACCTCTGGTCTAGGTCCTATTAACTGCCTTGGGTTCTACTGGTTTCAAACATCAGCTCCTGCTCTAGGAGAAGCCAATGTGATGCCCCTCCAGATGTCACTGGGCTGCAACTCCCATCAGCCCTTGCAGCTGGCATGGTCAATGTTTAGAGATGATGGGAGTTGTAGTCCACACCATGCTGCCTGCCTCTCTGCTGGGACTTGAATTCAGGTTCAACTTGCAAGCTGGCTCAAGGGCGTGGGTTATTTCTTACTGTTTGATATCCTAAATGAACTTGCTTTCACTTGGTCTTAATGTAAGCTGAGCAACATCATAACTATTGGGGGGAGGGAGGAACCCTACCATCTTCTTTACTTCCTCCTGGGTAATGGAAACCAGAAACCTCTCCTCAGCTGCATCCTATGAATTGCAAGGAAGGGGAGGCTGGTCCACTGGGGCGGATGAGGCCGCTGCCCACCAACCTCAGCCACTCCCTGCATGCCCACCTTCTTATTTACAACCAGCCTGTGGGCAGCAGTGGCACTGCCTATCACCTACCCACCCAACTTTGCTTCAGGGTTGCCCTTGTTCAACTCAGCAAGACAGATGATGGGTGGAACAGTTGAGTGAGCTGGGGATGTTTAGGCTGGAAAAGAGGAGACAGGATAGCCATTTTCAAATATGTAAAGGGCTGTAACATGGAAGATGCAGTAAGCTTGTTTTCTCCTGCTCTGGAAGCTAGGACCCGAACCAATGGCGTCAAGCGACAAGAAAGGAGATTTTGACTAAACATCAGGAATAACCTTCTGACATTAAGAGCTGTTTAATTGTGGAACGGACTCCCTTGGAAGGTGGTGGACTCTCCTTTACGGGAGGTTTTTAAGCAGAGGTTGGATGGCCACCTGTCATGGATGCTATAGTTGAGATTCCTGTGTTGCAGAGGGTTGGGCTAAATGATCCTTGGGGTCCCTTCCAACTCTACAATTCTATGAAATTAGAATTAGTTGATTCCGCCGGTCATTGGCTGTGGCTTCACATCCTGTTGGGTTCCTTTCCTCCCACCCTATTATTTCCAATAGGCCCCAGGTGATATTGCTCAGCCCGCAAGCTGCTAAGTGTTTGTAAACCCCCTGCCCCTGCCCCCAAACACACACACAAGAATATAGGCACATTTGTTCTTTCTCCAAGACCCTTCTGAAGCTGAGCGAGGTCCCTGCAGGATGCTGGCACCCTGTGCAGTCACAGTTTGCCTCCGTGGCTGGAGCCAGCTTTGTGTTCCAGAGGGGACCCTCCTCAC